CGGCGGCCATTGGAGGGTGAACCAACGGCAAAGGAAGACCTTTCTCTCTCTGTCTCTCTCTCTGTCCACTCTGCCTGTCAAAAATAAAATAAAAGAAAACTTAATTTTTAAAAAAAGATTTATGAATTTATTTGAAAGGCATAGTTACGGGGGAGAAGGGAGGGAGATCTTCAGTCCACACTCACTCCCCAAGATGGCTGCAGCAGCCAGGACTGAATCAGGCCAAAGCCATGAGTCTGAAACTCCCATGTGGGTGGCAGGGGCCCAAGCATTTGGGCCATCCTCTGCTGCTTTTCCAGGTGCATTAGCAGGAAACTGGGACAGAAGTAGAGTACCTGAGACTCAGACCAGTGCTGATGTGGGATGCTGGCATTGCAGGCAGCTAAGCTGAACCCTTTATACCGCAATCCCAAACCCATGTTATTTTTTTTCCTTTTTTTTTTAAAGACTTATTTATTTTACTGGAAGGGCATTTACAGACAGAGCATCATGTTATTCTGATTGTCAAAATAATACCCTATGCTCTTACCACCATGGCAGTAACTGCTGCTAACGTTATAGTGTATATTCTCGGTACTTCCCTGTTCTACATCTTCATTCTCATTTACTGTTGTCAGTGATTTGAGTTTTAGCCTTTTAAAAAGGAATTTGCGGTCTCTATTAAAATGAAATGGAGGATCCTATTTATTTATTTATTTTTTTAATTTGAAAGAGTCACAGAGAGAGAGGGAGAGACAGAAATCTTTCATCTGCTGGGTCACTCTCCAGATGGCTACAGCTGTCAGGGCTGGGCCAGCCTGAAATCCAGAGCCATTCCAGTCTCCCACGTGGATGCAGGGGCCCAAACACTTGGGCCATCCTCTGCTGACTTTCCCAGGTCATCAGCAGGGAGCTGGATCGGAAGCAGAACTGCTGGGATGCCCATGTGGGATGCTGGTGTCATAGGCAGCGGCAAAATTGGGGATCTTCTCATGTGCTTATTTACCATCTGGCGTTTTGTTTTCTTGTTGAGTTTTAAGAGTTCTTTGTGGATTTTGGGTATCAGTCCTTATCAGATAAGTGTTTCGCAACATTTTTTTCTCCAAGCCTGTGGCTCCTTTCATTCTCTTAGCAGTGCTTTCACAGAGCCAACATTTGTGATTTCCGTGATGTCCAGTAAGGAGCTTTCCTTCAAGAATTTTGCTTTCAGTGTTAAATATGAAGAGTCGTCACCATCCTCAGGGTCACTTGTCTCTTGTGTCTGTAAGAGTTCTGTAGTTTAGTATTTTATATTTAGATCTGTAATCCATTTGAACTTTTGAGAAAGTCAGAGGTTTTTCTCTAGATTGACATTTTTGCTTTAGATAATAGAAATTTGTAACATCACAGTTGTGGAATCTTTTTCCTGAAAAGGTCAGCAGGGTCATTCTCCCTCTAAAACTGGTAGTGGCATCCTTGCCTCCTGTAGCTTCTGGTGTTCTTGCATTCCTTGACAGCAGGTACATGGCTGTCCTCTTCCTGTGTGTCTTCACATCATCTTCCTCATGTGCACGTCTGTCCCTTTCCGTACAAACTGACAGCATGTGTTTCCCCCCGATTTGAAAGGCGGTGTGCAAGAGAGACAGAGGTCTTTAATTCACCGATTCACTCGCTAGATTCCTGTAACAGGGCTGGGCCACACCAAAGTCAGGAGCCAGACAGTATAGGTCTCCCACATGGATGACAGGGACCCAGGTACTCGCGTTGTCGTCCGCTGCCTCCTAGGTTGTGCATTAGCAGGAAGCTGGGATTGGAGGCAGAGGAGCCAGGACTCCAACCACACGGTCAGGTGAGGGATGCAGGCGTGCCTTAGGGGCATCTCAGCTGCTGCGTTGAGCTGGCAGGGATTTTTGCTGGGGTGGTTGATTGGATCCATAGTCACACAGCTCATCTCTTCAGCAAACATCCTTGGCATTCTCTACAAAACAGGCTTCTTAGGGTTTTTTTGCAGTATTGAAAGGCTGAAATTTTACGAGTTTTTCCAAGTTCTGGTTTCTTAATAGTTCATTTTTTATGTATCATTTTCCTCTCTTTTTTTTTTTTTAAGATTTATTTATTTATTTGAAAGGCAGAATTACAGAGAGGCAGAGGCAGGGGGTGGTCTTCCATATGGTTCAGTGCTCAGATGGCTGCAATGGCCAGAGCTGCACCTGTCCACAGCCAGGAGCCAGGAGCTTCTTCTGAGTCTCCCATACGGGTGCAGGGGCCCAAGGACTTGGACCATCTTCTGCCTTCCCAGGCCATAACAGAGAGCTGGATCAGAAGTGGAGCATCAGGGACTTGAACTGGTGCCCATATAGGATGCTGGCACTGCAGGTGGCAGCTTTATCCACTAAGCGCCAGCCCCATCCCCTTATATTTTCTTATAAAGCAGCAAGGACAGGACCTCAAAACTCTCAGGCTACATCCATCACCCAATTCCAAAGCTACTCCGCATTTCTAGGTATTCTTTTCCCTGCAGCATCCACTTTTGGTTCCAAACCTTGAAATGTCTGTATATTGTCATATTATATGTATATGTCATAAGGTTTTTTTCTTAGGGTTTATTTATATATTTGAAAAGCAGATTTACAGAGAGGCAGAGGGAGAGAGACAGAGAGGGAAGTCTTCCATCCAGTGGTTCACTTCCCAAATGGCCTCATGGCTGGAGCTGGGCTGGTTCAAAGCCAGGAGCCAGGAGCTTCTTCAGGGTCTCCCATATGGGTGCAAGGGCCCCAGGACTTGGGCCATCTTCCACTGCTTTCCCAGGCCATAGCAGAGAGCTGGATCAGAAGTGGAACAGCCAGGACTTGAACCTGCGCATCCAATATGGGGTGCTGGCGCTGCAGGCCAGCCACAGTGCCAGCCCCTATATCATAAATTTTTTAAACAGTCTCCAACTTTTGAGCATTTGGTTTTATGGGTTGTTGTTTCATGAGTAGAAGCAACATAGTGACAAACTTAGGCATTATAACCTTGAATATTTGTCAGTATTTTTACCCCAGGATAAATTCTAGAAATGGAATTGTGTTAAAAATTTGGGTACATATTTAGGTGCAGACTCTTCCTCCTAATCCAGACTGTTGACTCAAGGCTGGTACTCATCATCATGGCATACTCTTCTTGGTGAGGAATTCCTAGTGGGAGACATGTGGAATTTTACGTGATTTCTGTAGATTTTGTATAGTTTGTAGGTCAGTGTTTCTGAAACCTAATCTTTTGGTATATGACTTTGTAGAAACCCTTCCAGATTCTCTTGTGTGTTTTGTTAGTGTTTTCGCTTTCATAGAAGCTCTCTGAGATCCTGTAGGTGTGGAGAACAGGAAATGGCAGGAAGTAGGCCGAGTTTGGTTGTTTTGTTGAGTCACTGTTCCATGGGAAGAACCAGGAAGATTGAAGCTGCTCCTTGATTGAAATTGGGGTGCAGCTCTTCAGCCAGCTTCTTCTCGAAGCTAGCTTTAGAAGATGCCTCATGAGTATTCTATCTGAATAGGATTTCCCACCTCATAATTACATACTTTTTAAATACAAACATACTTTTCTTAAAAAATTTATTTATTTTACTTGAAAGTCACAGTTACATAGAGAGAGAAGGATAGGCACAGAAGGAGAGAGAGAGGTCTTTCACTCGCTGGTTCACTCCCCAGTTAGGCGCAACGGCCGGAGCTGTGCCGAACCGAAGCCAGGAGCCAGGAGCATCTTCTGGGTATCCCGTGCGAGTGCAGGGGCCCAAGGACTTGGGCCATCTTCTTCTGCTATCCCAGGCCACAGCAGAGAGCTGGAACTGGCGCCCATATGGGATGCCAGCCAGTACTGCAGGCGGCGGCTTTACCCGCTATGCCCCAGCCCCAGCCCCACAAAAATACTTTTATGAAGGCATTTGAATTCTTTCATTTCAATGAAAACTACTTTATCAAAACTATAAATTTCTTTTTATTTATTTATTTTTAAAGATTTATTTATTATTAACTTGGAAGTCAAGAGTTAAACACAGAGAGAAGTAGAGGCAGAGAGAGAGGGAGAGAGAGGTCTTCAATCCGCTGGTTCACTCCCCAGATGTCCACAATGGCCGGAGCTGCGCCGATCTGAAGCCAGGAGCCAGGAGGTTCTTCTGGGTCTCCCACACAGGTGCAGAGGCCCAAGGATTTGGGCCATCTTCTGCCTTCCTAGGCCATAGCTGAGAGCTGGATTGGAAGAGGAGCTGCCAGGACTAGAACCGGCGCCCATATGGGATGCCTGTGCTTCAGGCCAGGGCTTTAGATCACTGTGCCACAGAGCCGGTCCCCAGGAATATAAATTTAGCATGTATCATGTGTAAATGAATGTAAGCGGGCATAATCTAATCTAAACTACAGATCATTTGTTTAGTTAGCAGTGCTTAATTGTTTGCTGAAGCAACGTTAAGAAGACCTAGAGGTGGCTGGCGCTGTGGCTCACTTGGCTAATCCTCCACCTGCAGCGCCGGCATCCCATATGGGCGCCAGGTTCTAGTCCCGGCTGCTCCTCTTCCAGTCCAGCTCTCTCTGCTGTGGCCCCGGGAAGGCAGTGGAGGATGGCACAAGTGCTTTGGCACCTGCACCCACATGGGAGACCAGGAGGAAGCACCTGGCTCCTGGCTTTGGATTGGTGCAGTGCTGGCCGTAGTGGCCATTTGGGGAGTGGACCAACGGAAGGAAGACCTTTCTCTTTCTCTCTCTCTCTCTCTCTCTCTCTCTCTCACTGTCTAACTCTATCTGTCAAATAAATTAAAAAAAAAAAAAAGACCTAGAGAAATAAAAGAAAGGAACGTATTGCAGTCCTTACCAAAAGTGTTACCTTGTCAATTGGAATATACAGTATTCAGTCTTCATATTCAGCATGCTTGCAAGACTCTGTATAAGGCAAACCAAGCGTTAGTATAATTAAAATTTGATTTTAGCAGTGTCTCATTAATCGAGGTGATTTGGAGGAAGAAGTTGGAAGAATTTCCCTGAAATACTTAATTGATTGTCTTCTCATTTTAGGATTACATTGTAAAGACGATTTCTGTGAGTGAATTGTCATTTGGAAGAATAAACCCATTGCAAGAGGACGTGGAGCTGGTCCTCACCTTGAGGAAGCAGTGGCTTGTTTGAAGAAGCCACTCCTGGTCTGAGAATTTACCCAGCATGCCCAATCAAGGAGAAGATTGCTATTTTTTTTTCTATTCTACATGTACCAAAGTAAGATCATCCTAAGTTGTTTTTAACTAATTTTCTCAAGTTCTACAGAAGAGAAAGCCCATGACGGGCAGTCAGCACTGCATGTGTGTTTTCCACAGTTACCTGTTTAGAGTCCTGTGAAATGGGACCCTTCCCTGTGGCTTGTTTAGAGTCCTATGAAATGGGACCTTTCACCTTGCTAACTTTAATTTTATATGATTTTATTCAGTTGGGTGGGTAAATTGTATTGTACTTCTAGAAACTGTTTTGGGTTGAATTTGACCTCCTCTTTTTCCAGATTTCCTGCTGCCAAAAGTATAAAGCCATCTTTCTAAATATGCTTTGGCAGCTTTTTTGCTTTTTCTTTGTCAACATTTACTTTTTTTTCCCCACTTCTATAACACTATTTGTGTATATCTGCTATTTTCTGTTGCTTTTGACTAGTTCTATAAATTTATGCTGTTAAAAACTTCCTTAAATCATTTTGCTTTGCTCAAAAGTCCATGTCATCCATGTCCTGATAATTTCATTTATTAGCACTTTGCACAGCAGTAGCATTTTGTTTTAGATATTGCCGCTGTATAAAGTATATAGAGGAACATAATTATGTTAATTATATGCTAATTATACTTAGCTCCTTAGATGTGTATTATTTATTTGTTTTTACCTGCTTCCATCTACTGGTTCACTCCCCTAATAGCCACAGCAGCCAGGTCTGGCAAGGCTGAAGCCAGGAGCCAGGAAACTACATCCAGGCCTCCCATGTAGGGTGGCAGGGGTCCACGCCCCTGAGCCACCTGCTGCCTTCCTTGTGCATTAATAGGAAGTAGAGCAGCTGGGACTTGAACCAGCTCTCTGATACGCAAACATTGCAGTAGGCAGCAGTGTAGCCCACTGTCCCAATGCCAGCCCTTCAGGTCGTCTTTTTTTTTTTTTTTTTTTAAGGATTTATTTATTTGAGAGGCAGAGTTATAGAGAGAAAGAGGCACAGAGAGAGAGAGAGAGAGAGAGAAGTCTTCCATCCGATGGTTTATTCCCCAGATGGCAGCAGTGGCTGAAGCTGGGCTGATCTAAAGCCAGGAGTCTGTAGCTTCTTCCGGGTCTCCCATGTGGGCACAGGGGCCCAAGGATGTGGGCCATCTTCTGCTGCTTTCCCAGGCCATAGCAGAGAGCTGGATCGGAAGTGGAGCAGCTGGGACACGAACCGGCGCCCATATGGGATGCTGGCACTGCAGGCAGTGGCTATTCCCGCTATGCCACAGCACCGGCCCCTTAGGTATGCTTTTTTTATTTTTAATATTTCGTTTCTTTTTTTTTTGACAGCAGAGTGACAGTGAGAGAGAGAGAGACAGAGAGAAAGGTCTTCCTTTGCCGTTGGTTCACCCTCCAATGGCCGCCGCGGCCGGCGCGCTGCGGCCGGCGCACTGCGCTGATCCGATGGCAGGAGCCAGGAGCCAGGTGCTTTTCCTGGTCTCCCATGGGGTGCAGGGCCCAAGCACCTGGGCCATCCTCCACTGCACTCCCTGGCCACAGCAGAGGGCTGGCCTGGAAGAGGGGCAACCGGGACAGAATCCGGTGCCCCGACCGGGACTAGAACCCGGTGTGCCGGCGCCGCTAGGCGGAGGATATTTTTTATTTTTTTTGACAGGCAGAGTGGACAGTGAGAGAGAGAGACAGAAAGGTTTTCCTTTGCCGTTGGCTCACCCTCCATTGGCCGCCGCGGCCGGCGCACTGCGCTGATCCGATGGCAGGAGCCAGGAGCCAGGTGCTTTTCCTGGTCTCCCATGGGGTGCAGGGCCCAAGCACTTGGGCCATCCTCCACTGCACTCCTGGGCCACAGCAGAGAGCTGGCCTGGAAGAGGGGCAACCGGGACAGAATCCGGCGCCCCGACCGGGACTAGAACCTGGTGTGCCGGCGCCACTAGGCGGAGGATTAGCCTAGTGAGCCGCGGCGCCGGCCCCCTTAGGTATTCTTTAAAAATATATTTTATAGACTCTGCTTCTGTCTCTGTAATTTTGCCTTTCAAATAAATAAATAAATACATCTTTAAGATGTGTGTGTGTGTGTGTGTGTATTTTACAGGAGTACTGGGAAGTGTCATTCATGTCAGAGTGGATGAAAGGTGCTAGCAAGGAATATGCTGTAGGAAGCTTGTTGCTCTCAGCATGTCCTTGTCATCCCATCTACTTTGCTCCTTACCAGTTTGTGCTTCTCTCGATTGCAGGAAATGTGTGGGCATTTTACTGGGTTGTGTTTGAGTACCACAGTTCTGTTCTGAGTCCACTCTTTGTTTACAGGGTGATAGCTGCCCGTTCCGTCACTGTGAAGCTGCACTAGGAAATGAAACTGTTTGCACGCTATGGCAAGAAGGGCGCTGCTTTCGACAAGTGTGCAGGTTTCGGCACATGGAGATTGATGTAGGTTTCGATTTGCATCATCATAATATACTAATAGTCTGGGGTCATGGTGGGCCTTGTAAGGACAGAAGTTGCTGGTGCCGTGGCTCAACAGGCTAATCCTCCGCCTAGCGGCGCCGGCACACCGGGTTCTAGTCCCGGTCGGGGCGCCGGATTCTGTCCCGGTTGCCCCTCTTCCAGGCCAGCTCTCTGCTGTGGCCAGGGAGTGCAGTGGAGGATGGCCCAAGTGCTTGGGCCCTGCACCCCATGGGAGACCAGGAGAAGCACCTGGCTCCTGCCTTTGGATCAGCGCGGTGCGCCGGCCACAGCGTGCCAGCCGCAGCGGCCTTTGGAGGGTGAACCAACTGGCAAAGGAAGACCTTTCTCTCTATCTCTCTCTCTCACTGTCCACTCTGCCTGTCAAAAAAATATATATATTTAAAAAATAAAAAAAGGACAAAAGTTATACTTTGCTTTATATGTTGTAACATGGAGGTTGATTTTTTTTTTAATGATCCAGTGAAACTGCCTATGATATTAATGCTCACTTAATATCTCAATGGTAAGGAACTGGAATTGGTATAATTTTTCTAGAAGGCAGTTGGGTAGTATATGTAAGCTTAAAAATGTTGTGTATATTTAAATTAGGGAAAATTCGTCCTTTTTTTTTTTAACTGCATTTTTTTTTTAATTTATTTTTATTTTTTTTTGACAGGCAGAGTGGACAGTGAGAGAGAGAGAGAGAGAAAGGTCTTCCTTTGCCGTTGGTTCACCCTCCAATGGCCGCCACGGCTGGCGCACTGCGGCCGGCGCACCGCGCTGATCCGATGGCAGGAGCCAGGAGCTAGGTGCTTTTCCTGGTCTCCCATGGGATGCAGGGCCCAAGCACTTGGGCCATCCTCCACTGCACTCCCTGGCCACAGCAGAGAGCTGGCCTGGAAGAGGGGCAACCGGGACAGAATCCAGCGCCCCGACCGGGACTAGAACCCGGTGTGCCGGCGCCGCTAGGCGGAGGATTAGCCTAGTGAGCCGCGGCGCCGGCCCTTTTTTAAAAATTTTAAACTCAGAAGTTGCCAATACAGGATAAAATTTCTTTTCTAAGGGATTTGGGAATAAATGCCATTCTCTGTCACTTCCAAACTTTGAGCATTTCCTACAAATAAGGACATTCTCCTACATAGTCACATTACAACCATCAAAATTAGAAAATGAATATTGATGTGTTACTTCCATTGAATCCTGATCCCAGCGGAGTCGCCAGTTGTCCCAGCAGTGTCTGTGCTGTGGAAGGAGCAAGTCCAGACTCAGGTGCTGCGTGCTGTCATCCTGCCGCCTCAGGCGCCTTCAGCAGAGAGCATTGGATCCATCTGTGTCTGCCTGTCATTGACCTTGATATTTTTGGTAGTGATAGCCCAGTTACTTTGTCAGATGTCCCTAAATTAGCATTTGCCTATATCTCCTCATTACTAAATTAAGACTGTGTCTGTAGCAGAATTATGATTACACACCATCAGATGACATGATTTTAATGTTCTCATTACTCTTTTTTTGATTCCTCTTCTATTTGGAAGAGTCAGGCAGATTTTTTTTTTTTTTTTAACATTTATTTCTTTGAAAAGCAGAGTTACAGAGATGGAAAGGTAGAGAGAAAGAGATGCTGTTTTCTATCTGCTGTTTCACTCTCCAAGTGGCGGCAGCATCCAGTGCTGAACCAAGCTGAACCAAAGAGCTTCCAGGTCTCCCACGTGGGTGCAGGGGCCCAGGCACTTGGGCATCTTCCACAGCTTTCCCAGGCACATTAGCAGGGAGCTGGATTGGAAGTGAAGCAGCCAGGACAGAAACCAGCACCCCATGGGATGCTGGCATTGCAGGCTTACCCTACTGCACCGCAAGGCCAGCCTGCTCATTACTGGTGATGACCTTTGGTCACCGGATCAACATCATATCTGTCAGATTGCTTCATTATAAAGTTTTTCTTTTTGTATTTAATAATTATTTTGTAAAGGACTATTTCGAAACTGTAAAGAACCATTTCTTTCAACTTTTTCCAGTTATTTATTTGAATTAATAGGACATCCATCATTCTTGGAATACTTCTTTGTTGTTTGGCCTGACAAGATTTTCTAGGCTTTTACTTGTCCTGCTCCTGCTCTGGAGTCCGTCATTTCTCCAGTGTACTCTGGTTCCTTTTAGTGAAGAACAGCAGGTAGAAACAGACTTGAACTTTTTGTTGTTGCTGGCGTTTGTTTTTAATGGCATTGGCCTCTTTGAATTTCTGTTTATTAAATGTTCACTTTACTTGAAAAGCAGAGGACAGAGAGGAGATCTTTTCATCTACTGGTTTAAATCCCAAATGCCTACAACAACCAGGGCTGAGCCAGGCCGAAGCCAGGAGCCCTGAACTCCGTGTAGGGCTCCCACGTGGGGGCAGGGGTCCAGGTGCCCAAGCTGTCACCTGTTGTCTTCCAGGATGTGCATTAGCAGGGAACTGGGTCAGAAATGAAGTTGGGGGCCAGCGCTTTAGCGGAGCGAGTAAAGCTGCTGCCTGCCGTGCCAGCATCCTGTATGGGCATTGATTTGAGTCCTGGCCGCTCCACTTCCAATCCAGATCCCTGCTAATGGCC